TAAAACAAATCAACAAAAGGCTTAATACTTTGCAGGAGAAAAAGCATATTTCTTAAAAAGGTTAACAAAAAGCAACACTTTTCATCTCTGATCTGTTTTTCTCTGAGAATCATGAAAAATACATATACTATACCAACTCTTGTTCTTGCTGTGTCAATGTTTTACCAACAGCTTTGCTTTAAGGAGCAATAAGAAAATAAATAATTTTTTCAGATAGAAATAACAGAGAAATAGTGATGTAAAGAGCTGAAGGTATATTTTTAAATGGAATATGGAGAGACCTCAGACAACATCTCTCTGTGTTGTTCTCCATGTGAATAGCTGCTACTCACAGCTTAGCTCCTTTTACCCAAACCACACTTTGAAATGTTTATTTATACAACATTGTGAAACTCTAAAGTTTGTTGGACTAACACACTGATAAGGTTCAAGAGGTTTGAAAAGAAGACACTTAAAGCTGTGACAAAAAGTGTCTGTTTCTTTTCAGACATATTCAGATTTGTAATGGATGAAAGGGCAGCCTATGCAGAAGCAGCAGAGTATTCTGACTTACACATGTTGAGAGATATAGGTTGATATAGGTTGTCAGTCAACTACAAAGCTAACATTGAGACAGCCATGTAGATCTGCATTTTTAGCAGCTCATAGGTAGGCTTATATTGGAGTTAAAGCACAGATCATATACTCATAACTCAGACTACGGGTTGAGCTGCAGCCCCCAGAAAAAGATGGGCATAACATGCATGACTTCATGATAAAGGGAACCGTGTGTCACATTAGGGCCTGAAACTATTTGAACGGATAGAAAACTAAAACAGATGTTGGTTTAAGAATGTGCAGAACCCAAGAAAAGCCCTGAAGCCAGATTGAAAATAACAAAACACAGAATAACAGCTGATGGAAATCAAGACAGCCATTTTCACGTGCTTCTCCTGGCTTATGTTAGAGTTTACCATGTCTCCTACATCTAAAGCAAAAAATTTGAAAAAATGAATCAGTATATAGCGCCTCCATCAATGTTGAAATAAAACATAATAAAACATAAATTTAATTTAAAGTTTAGTTCAACTTCTACAAATTTAAACTGGACGATAATTTCCTTAAACTCACAGAAACGTCCCCTTCTAAACTATCCTTAAATCAGAAAGTGGGCAGTTTTTTAAAGCTAGTAGAAAAGTCTTTAAATTGGATTTACAACTTTTTAAGTGAACTGATACCACATAGATAAATTAATATTAGATGTCACCATTGTCTCTTGCACATCTGGCCACATGTGTGGAGGAAAAGGCTGATAAGACAGACAGAAGCTTTGCCAGCTGGACTGAGCTACATTAATGAGCCAAGGCTGAGATTTACTATCACGTCACAAGTGTTCACCAAATGGTCAATAGAGTGCTCAGCTTGTGCCCACGAAAAAAGGTCAACTTTGTCAAAGATGTATGATGTATCACTTGGTCTTTATTTGAACTTTAGCCACGTGTAATGCATTGATGACAGTACATGTAAGACAGTCGTTTATAACAGCAGTTTAAAACCAATAGCTGAACCTTAAAATCAACTGAGAAACAACCAGTGGGCAGAAACTGATGGCCTTTGTGTGACTCAGCATAAGAAATGCAGCCATAAATCTGTCATGCAGCATCTACACTCAACACTTGAATGAACAATAAGAGTTGCTACCAACAAAGAGACAAAAAGCTCCATATGTTTCTCTTCATTTCACACAGTCATACACAATGACTTCCAGTTCCAAGCTAAAAATACACCAAAACACAGTCATAAATCAAAGTAACTGCAAACATATAAGCTGTGCATAAGCACATGCGTGATACACACGCCACGAAGTCAGATCATGTGAATTGAATTCAGGGCAAACTAGTTAGTAGAGCCCAGATTGTGTGGGCAGCAAACACACAAAGGACCATGAATGCAAAGATATGAAGCAGTAATAGTGAAATCTCCTGAGTATTTCTATAGTGCCTGTCAAACACATGTGACTCCTGTTCTTCCCGTCTTATGTGGTTAGCCTACAGCTTCCCAGCTGTCCTCATGTCCTATTTCCCTCTCCTGACCCACAAGACTGTCCTGAGCTTTAAGTACAATAAGGACTGAGTGATTTAAATACCGGTATTAGGAACAACCATTAGGAACATCCATGAAAGGTGGAACTATTGACTGGGAAGTACTTTAATTATAGCTACAGTATGTCAGTTTGAATAATTTGCCACTCATTTGCATAAGTAATCAAAAGTCAGTTAAAACAAAAGACTGCAGCACATATTTTATGTGAATGCCAAATTGAGGGGATCAATCATTTGTTCTGCCTCAAGCTTTTTCTGTTTACATCTATTTTTATTAGGAAATAAAGGTGATAAACCGAGACAAGTGGGAACCTGATTGCAAAGTTTAAGGATAATGATACGTGGCTTTTAATTATCTTTACAGATTAAAAACTGAACAGTGCAGTATCTACTGTATATAGTGTATAGAATGTATTTATATTTGAATAGCCACCTTTTTGTGAAAGTGCAGGTCCAACTGTATGCCTCTGTCACACTCACACCTAAGGAGAATGTAGAGAAGCCAATAACCTTTTGGACCCATGCGTGCTCAGCTAGAACATGCAAACTTCATACAGAAAGACCCCGGGCCAGGAATCGAACCCCAAACCTTCTTGTTGCAATGCAGCAGTGCTAGCCAATGCATGACCGTGCAGCCTATGTGCAAACCAATTTGGTTAAAACCATCAAAATGAGCAGATTTGAGAGTGGCCATAAAAGAAAGATGAAGTTCAAAGCCATGAAGATTGAGGTCACAATGATAGTTCTTAAAATAATAATTATTATGAAAATACTAAATAAAATACATATGGTGCACCTGATATAAGTAGTCAATCTTAAAGTTATACATAAAGTAGTAAAAATAAAATGATGAAAATAACTAAGAGTCAAGGTTAATATGAACAATTTAAAATACTATCATACTTCTATCAGTCTGCTGACTAATAGAAGAGCAGATTATAATCTATATATTTTTGTTTCCCTCCACCCACTCCTCTTAAAAACGCTAATATACTGCAATACAGTGTAGGAGCTTAACAACTGAATAAAACATAAAGCAATGTTATGTTTTATTAAACCAAAGGAGGAAAATAAATCTTGTTGGAATGAGTGAGAAAAGCACCCAAACCCCCGCCCCCCTGCATGAATGCCCTGCATTAGCAGTGTGACAAAATATAAAAAACATTCAACACCTTTGTTCTGTAAGGCAGTGTTAAACACTGGGGGATATTCTGTGTATTTTTTTTTTTATGCATAGAGGTAATTATGGGAGAATTTATCTGATCATACAGTTCTTTATTTTGAGTAAATGTCTTTTGTCACACATTCAGTACAAGCCTTTGGTCAACTGGTCGGTGTGCAAGGAGGAGGAACTATGAATATATGCATTATAATCGCTGGCTGCTTGCATAGATAATGATTAGATATCAGGTGACTGGTCAATGCTCATTGATGAGTTCAGTGGGAATGTGGGGCATCAGTGTTTGAGGTTATGTGAAGCAGTGCTCTTAATGTTAGGCATCAGGGTAGTAGGGCACTACGTGATTTTTGAAGGGGAAATCAGAGTGACTCTTTTCATCCATAATCCCCAAAGAGAAAGAGGCCTAATCCCTTCCAAGAGTGTGTACATGTAATTATTGCTTGGCTAAAGCTAATACATCTTCTTGTTACCTCATTCCACAGCAAATGTTTAGCATATGTTGGTACTTTTTTCTCCTGGTGTTGCCATAGGTTTCAGCACTTGAAGCTCTTGTGCAATGGAGTGTATTTTTTTTTCACACGGGCTGTATATTTTTCCACGGCTCTCCCTGGGTTTATATTACAGTAATCAATTGATTATCTAAAATAAAAATCCCCTCTCTTATGCTGCATGGAAACAATTTAGCTCAGTTTATATTAATCATTTACATTCTTGGTTTTCTACATTTCCTTTTCGGCTTTGTGCTTTGAACTGAGGATCACCGAAGGTCCTTTAATCTACTTCTCTGAAAAGCTGAGAATCTACTCTTTTCTGATGCCAACATGAATTCAGTCCTAAGTCCAATAGTGATTCAGTTTTTTGTTTTGTTTCCTGTAAATATCCTACTCAGTTTTCCTGTAAACATACACAGATGAGTTGAAACATTTCCTGTCAGTTTTTTTTTTTTTTTTACAAATCAGCTTTCATTTCTTTAATGATAAAATATTTTCTCTCAAAACTTCTTTGGTCTCAAATAAGCTTCTGCAATCAGTGTGAAAATGTTTTCTCTGCAATATATTTATTTTGATTTTAAAATGGTCTTCCCCTTTAAGCTAGCCTTTTTTCTTGAATTTAATAAAAACACAAAAATAACTCCATAATCTTTGGCCAGATGTGCAAGCATAAATTTCTAGTCTAAAGTCTAAAGTTAAGTTTGGAAAAACGACTGTCTTGGTCAGCTCAGTCTCAGTCCAATATAATGTGAAACATGCTTCACTGAAAAACAGTTTCACTGTCTTTTCAGTTGTTTCCTGGCAATGGCAGAATTAGGCATTGATTTACTGGACTGTTGATTTTATCTAGGTTCTAACTAATAAAGAATATGTAAAGGTGGGACGTGATGATGGCCAGGAGGTCTTTTTACCTTACAGACTTGGATTGCTTCATCCAGGATAAAATCTCTTAATGCCAGTACCATAAGCTGCTCAACAACGATAAGAGGAGTTTTATGGCTTTAATGCCAACAAAGACTTCTCAATGCATGTATTAAAAAAGCTCCACATATCACTTTTGTTAAAACGGAAACAATTATTCACTTTTTTTGATGCTCCTAATGTTATAAAAGATTTTTGCTAGATGCCTGTTCCATTTTCTACCAGAAAGAAGTAAAATCATCAGTCAGAAACAAATAATTTAGGGAGTATCTGTATGTAATATATCTCCTATGGTCATTTAATTTCACAGAATGATTTATTCCCTACCTACAAAATCAGCATTCGATGAAGTTGAGGGCTGATCAAAGTTTCCAGTGTTACCGCTGAAACAGAGAATGAGAGAAATCTTTCAGAGAAAGAACTGGAATCAGACATTTACTAAACCATCTCTGTTCTGCAAACAGTTTAACATCTGCCTCTAGCTGTTGATGCAATATTCCTAACTGTCATTGTTTTATGTGGAGTTTCAGATCATTAGTATGATAATGACAAACAGTGTAAGCAAAAAAAATTAAAAGTGAATCAGTTGAAAAGAAAATAGTGCACAACTCTGCAAAATGATCAAAGCACTTCTCCGAAAGCGCAGCAATGTTTTCCAAGTGTTTGAAGCGACTGGCTCATTGTCAAAGCACAGTGTGCGCTCGCCAACCCATGGAGAATGGATGGAGGGCATATTACGGATACTGCTAGATCTTCTGCCCTCCACATGGCTTGGACGCTCAAACTTTCCAACTGAAAACTTCCGGTGCTCTGAGGATGAAGCAAAAGTGTATGAAGCTCATCCAGCGGTGTGAGTCCAAAACATGATGTGCCAAAAATCTAACAGCAAAGGCTTCAAGACACCTGCATTTTATCTTTATTTCTCAGGAATTAACAGATAAAGGATTGCTTATGAATGGAATACAGTGAATGAATTAAATGTGGATTTAGTCAGACATGTGGCTCACAGCAGAAGATTGACAGGAAAAAAATAAATCAGGGCTTTATGTGCCCCAGATCCAATACATACTGATTATTACAGCTATAAAACACATATTGGTTTAATAATTCCTCTCAAAAGACCATATACCTCTAAAACCATGGTTCATGTTGTCTTGTTAGAATCACCATCTTAACTCATCAAGATCACATGTGATAAACCAGAGGTCTCCTAAGTGTGGCTTGAGGACTGATAGAAGCCTTTGCAATTAGTGTTTGTGGCCAAAGACAATGATTTAAGATTGTAACATAAGCTAGGCAGGGGTTAATGGAGATACACTTTTTTTTTCATACAACAGAATAAATTGTCTTTTACATTTTCTGTTATTACTTGTCATTTTACTTTTCTTTTTTTATTTCATTAAATTTTCAGGACCCCAAACATTCAGGAGGCTTTTATTGAGAAAGTCCGTTTCTAGTCCTATCCACTCATTAAAGACGGCAAAAAACACAAAGCATATTTAAAAAAAGTGGGAATCCTATCCCTCTTTGTAATTTACAGTAGACATTAAAAAAAGATTTTTCTAGATCAATAAAACAGAAAATATTCAACCCTAAAACTAAGCTCAGTGCAAGTCAAACAGTGAGACACTTTCTATGTTTCTTTTCTTCAGTTACATAAATATGCATGTTTAGTATATTGAAGAGCAGGAAAAATGCATATAAAAAAAAAAATAATAAAATTGGAATTCATTCTAATTTTGTTTTTTTTTATTTTCTGTTGCCATCTTTTTTCTTCGACAGTGAGAGAGTACTTTCAACATGAAAAAGGTTTGTAGTCAGTTGTGAAAGACAAACACAAACTACAAGAAAGACAGAAACTGATGCATGGTTGTCCATTTTTTTTCTTATGAATGAAACTTTAATAATGCATACAATTTCATTAAACCCTATTAAATTGGATACCCCTGAATAAATTCAGTTTAAATAAATACTGACTAAAAGACCAAGAAGATCACACAGACAACATAATATTATAATGGAACCATATTTTTTTCACCTAAACCTAGCACAATGTAAATTTACTAGAATATATGTGGGGCAAAGATCAACATTTGGTTTTACATTATTGTAAGCAGGCGACCAGCTCATGCCAGTAAAACCTGGTGTTTCTCATTTCCTACAATGAAAGACTGGGCAGCTAAAGGGAAAGCTGGAACAAAACTGTAAACTATGTACATGTGTGTCTAAAAATAACAGAAAATAAAAATAAAAGGAAAAAATCTAAAGGAAATGATTCATAAAGTGCACAGGAGATGGCTGGCAGAGTTTAAAGGAACAGTAAGTCTCTGGAGGATGTGAGGATTTGGCAGCTGGATTCCGATGTGAGAAGAAAAACATTTTCAGGACAAAGTGCAAAAGTGAATTCAGGAACACGTCAGATACAGCAAATTAGGAGATAGGGAAAGAACAGGAATTAGGAAAGGAAAAAAAGATAAAGACACAGGAAGCTTTAGAGACAGACAAACATGTAGAGATTGAGACAAGCTGCACGCGGACAACATCCAAAAGAAACAAACCTTTCATCAAACAAAACTGAAGAGGGTCTAAATTGTGTCTATATAAAAAAAATGAGGGAGTTTGGGGTACAATGTGGCTCACTTTTGATCTTAGCTGTATAAATCAAGGGTCAAAGTGTGGGAGTCTGAAGACAGTTTGTGACATGGATCAGAAGGACATAGTGAGCGATGCCTCGGATCCAGATAAACAGGAGGCTTTAGGCATAAACAAGCTTTTAATCTGATTTCTACCTTATTTGGCTATTGTTTCAGTTACAGGATGAGCAACAGCATACACAGAGAAATATCACTGAGCTAAAAAGTCAGAGTTTTAATGTCTTATACTTTAGAGCCCAACAAGATACTTTGACTTCATCAGAAATCAGTAGATTGTTTTTTTTGTTGTTTTAACTTATCTTTTTAATTGCTCCTTTCATCCAGGCCAAATTTCCCAAATTCAGATCAGCTGCTTCCTTTTCCTGGTACTTTTCCTATCTCATCCACAGTCTATCATGACCCTTCTCTACAGTCTGGTCTCTAAAATAATACACGCTCATGAACTCATGAACTCACCTGCCCAGCATGCTAGAGGAGGACACAGGTTGATACAGCTGGAAAGAGGAAGCTGTAAAAACAAAAAAAGAAAATAATCAGCATCAAGGCATCAAACTATTTCATCGTACTGGTTGCATTTGAAAGCCATTTCTGTTCAGTGGAACAGTGGGTAGCACTGCTGCTTTGCAGAAAAAAAGGTTTGATTTCCGGCCCGAGGTCTTTCTGCATGGAGTTTGCATGTTCTCCCTGAGCATGCATGGGTTCTCTCCGGGTACTCCGGCTTCCTCCCACAGTCTAAAGGACTGTTAGGTTAATTGGCTTCTCTAAATTCTCCTTAAGTGTGAGTGTGTGTGTGAATGGTTGTTTGTCCTATTTGTGTTGCCCTGTGATGGACCGGCGACCTGTCCAGGGTGTACCCTGCCTCTCGCCCATAGACAGCTGGAGACAGGCACCAGTAACCCTTGCGACCCAATTATGCATGACAGAAAAAATTGTTTAAGTTCTCAGTGGCTCTTCATAGGAAAATATTGAATTTAATTTACTTAACCGGCCGAGGCAGGAAATAAAAGCTTTAAGGAGAAGCACTAATTAGTGGCTGTTGAGGGCCAGATAATTTGCTCCATGGGCCTTGAGTTTGACACTATTAAACGTAGAAAAACAAATAAGTGCATTTTCAAGTTTTCAGACTTTAAACAGAATACACGATTTAAACACACACACATTCTTCATGCGTATATAGCTCAGAAGTTTCATTAATCAGGATCTAAAGGTAAATTTAAATATCATTTTTTGGAAACATTTATATAATTGAATTATTTACAGATTATACAACCCAAACCTGCGGTGTGAGAAGGACAGCACTGCTTATGTCAAAGTGAAGTGGGAAAAGGAAGGTAATCTAACACTTCCAAAGGAAATTTGGGACCTTATCTATTAGATTCAGTGAATGATGAAAAAATGTAAACATGTGGTGTGAAATATGTTGGAAAAGCATAATAAGATTTGACAAACCCCCTGTTCAGAAAGGACATCAGGAAGGGGGTACCTGTTGGTGATGACGAGGAAATGGATCCAACTATTTCCATGCTTTTTGGAACGTCCGTCTTACACGTTTCAAATCAATTGACAGATTATGTTCTGATCTGTTTCTTTTAACCTTAAAAAGCATATTTTTCTGTTACATATCAGTGGACAAACTAAACTCTAAGGATAAAAGACTTTTGTAAATTTTAATAACCTGAGGACTGGATTAATGCAGTGAAAGAAATCAAGGTCTTGGATATTTTTCTTATCTTTTTCTGTCACAAAGTAAAGCGACACTTTTCACAAAATATGCTTGTTTCGTGTACTCTGTCCTGAAATTACGGTAGATATCTTAAGGGCACCACAGACTGGCATCACAGAATTCACCTCTTATTTCTGTGGTCTGGTAGCTGGCCTCCACTCCAGTTTGAAGTTTGAGCTTCAGCACAATGTATCCAAATGATGCTTGAACAGCGCAATATGGCATTTACCAGGTGCATAACCAAATTAAGCCATTATAGCCATATATCAATGCTGACCAGTGAAACTTCAATTAATATAAAAAATATTTTTTAAAAAAAGCAAACAACAACAAAAAATTTCAATATATGGTATAAAATGTCATTGGGGAATTCAATGAGAAGCAATCAAAGAACTACTGTATAGTTTTCAATCCGAAAACTCCCAGAATTGTGGGACCCTAATCAAGACATTTCTAATATTATTGGCTGAATACTGGATCAAAGCATTTAAACCAAGTAATATGGACATAGAGAGGGCATGTTCAACATGTGCATGCTGTTACAGGTTCAAGTCATTTCTTTCTCCAAACCATTTCCTGTCTATGGTAAGAAAAATACTACAAAATAATACAATTGGTGGTCTATAAAAAAAAAAACTGTAAAGAAAACAACAGCTTGCTAAAGAATGTCGGTGCCTTGAATATATTCATATCATATGGTGATTATTTAAGATTTTACCAAATAGCGCACACTGCAGGTGTAATCAGTGCTAGATCTAGTGAGCGAAAGGGAATGAAAAGGTCTTTGATAAGACAAGTAAGGATATCCCACAACTTTATAATAATATTTTATTTAAAAACAGTTTAAGTGTTATTCATTTTTTATTAACAAAATATTGTAAGGCTTTTATTGTGTACAAGTTAAAGTATTAAAATAAGAGCAACAAATGTGGCCATTATTAAGCATCAGCTCCAGAGATCACTCTCTTCACGGTTAATGGTCTAACTTATGTGCACAAATTTTATGAGAGCTAGCAAAACAATCAACCACAAATTACACACTCAACTTGCTTTGAACAACAGCTTTCACACAAAAGAGTTGAGAATAAACACATGGCAAAAACACATTAACATCTGGATACTATGCTTTCAGGGGGGGTTTCTAATAATGACCCCTAACGTGAGAAAAGCTTAGTGCAGCTTTTCAAGATAGAGGACAATTAAGTAGTTAAAACAGATGGAATAATGATATGAGCCATTGCACAAATCCTGTACTTTGCCCAGAGGACCAAGCTAACCCCTAATGTAACAGAAAAAAAAACAATATATATATCTATATATATCTATATATATATATATATAGATATACATATATATTTTTTTTTTTTCCCCAAACAGAAGTGCCATACAGTTGAGAGAACAAGGACACAAGATCTCTGACATATGGTAACACACAGAAAGAAAATGTGTTTTCAAACTTCTAAGTCTTAGTCACAAAAGCCAGAAGTGAAGGGCTGGAGGGCTTCAGGTGATCGCTTTAAAGACCGCAGACAAAAAGATCGTGTTGTGATTCATCAGATACATGCACCTGAGAGCCGACTCATCACAAGATGAAGTCACTGCATAAAACACCTCATGAATACTAAGCTACATGTTTATTCACCATTAAAAAGAAAATAAGCAGTGCGTGCTTCATACAATGGGGCACAGAAATAAACATGCATTTACAATAAACACCAGCTTGTCTACACAGATGCCTTCAAGGTTAGCATGAGTAATTGTTTCTACCTGCAGTGAGTGTTTGATAAGGACTGTACTTTTATGCTTGGCAGCATATGAGAGAGTTAATAGCTAAGGGCTAATGGCTGCCGACTGTGTTTGCGTGACTTTGTCTCATGCTAACGTTTCACAGAGGTGCAGGCTGCAGACTCTAAGATGGAGCTGATAGTTCGCTGTAGACCAATGGGTGCTCCTTTCCAGAGCATAAGAATATGCTTCTACAGTAGATTATGGTGCCCTTTATTCTTCAGCCTGTAATATTTATCTTTTAACCTAACTGATTGCACATACCAAAGCAATTGTTTTCCGATAAAAAGACGGATAATACTTTACTGTTAAATATCAACACATTTTAATAAAACACTTGAGAATTAAAAAAAATTGAAAATTCACTCAAACTCCCAGTGCTAACATTAGCGTTTATGCAGCATAAATCAAATTGTTAAATTCACTACCTGAGCGAGCACCACTCAATATCAACAGCTGTGCTGCAAAGATAAGCATAACTTTCAGGTCTGTGGAATATCATTTTCTCCATCTGAACATAAAACACTTGGTCCTGTCATTATGTACAAGGCTGATAAGGCTACTGCTACAAATAAATGATATGGATACTGTATCCTTTTCATCTCATAGATGGTTTTAATAAACTCAGTGCTTATCTGTTTAAACAGTGTTTCTCTCCTCGATGAAGCCACTAACTGAGCTACTGCTACCATTAAGTATGTGTACTTTCTCCTTTAGCATCAAAATTGCCCTTGCAGCAGTAATCTGTATTTCTCTGTTGCTTTTCCTAAACCCACAGCTAGTCACAGCAGATAGCCTGTAAAACTTTGTTGGGTCCTACTGGAAGTTACTTCCTATATAAATAGCAGTTTTTTTCCATTTTTCACACAGAAGGAGAGATCATCTCTTGAGGTCTGTGGATTATAATATATATGGCAACGCATAGTAATGCTTCACATAGTGCTGCTGTATTGATAAACTAGCATTGAGGCTTAAAACGAAAAAAGGGGAAAAAATCACGTTGATATTTTTTTGCACAGCGGGATGTAGCCAGAACCGTTAATGTGCCCGCCGCCCTGACTGTTTATTGAGCCAGACCACAAACAGCTTCGTCCAGAAACAGACAAGGCTCAGATGGTTATGCCAGTCACACACATAGGACCAATCTGGAGACTGTCAGGGTTCCGTGTTTTGTGCTCTGCTTATTCTCTTCCACAGGTGGTTTTTGTTGACAGGTGGGCGTGCTCCCACACCTGCAGCTTCTTGAGGCTGGTCTGCTGAGCTCAAGAGGAGCGTTCAGTCAGCTGAAGGACGCCAGAGTGCTAAACCGTTGTGGTATGCCTAGGGCTCTGTCCTGTCGACAGATCTCTGAAACCTGATGTTTTGAATTCCTGATCCTAACCTGTCTCCTGTCTCCCTCAGTTCGTTGAGCTCTGGTTTGCTCACCTGCCGGTCTCCATGCTCTGAAGACTGGTCTCTGAATCCCTGCTGCTCAGATTCTGCTCTGGCGTTCCCCTCGAGCCCCCTCATTGCTACCGAGCCAGACAAGAGATAACTTTCCTGGATTCACACTGGTTCCTTCAGCTGCTCCTCGAACCTGCCTCTGCAGTGCAGTGCTGCTCGGGCCCCCGCCTACAGTAAGTCCCACCTGTCGCTCAGCTACCTCCTCCCATCAGAAAGCTGTGAGTTACAGATCCCATTCCTTCACTCACCCTCCCTGGATAAGTCATCCGTACCTGGCGGTAAGCAGAGCAGCAACAGAGCAGGTTTCTTTAGCTTTTTCTAGTCTTAATCAGTTTCTTCTTTCCTCCCGTAGAACCCAAAACACTGATGTTCCAAACCTCGCCTGTGGCTACCGTTCAGAAACTGCTCCTTGTTTACCCGTCTATGTCTGCATGTGGGCCAAACTTCTTAAAACCATGACAGAGACTGTCTCCAAAATTCCCAAGAACTTGGAGAAGGCGAGCAGCATTGCAAAAGCTAATGCTACTCTTAGTGTGACAAATTTACACCCATAGTTGCAACAATAGAGCCAATTTAGGTTAGTGGTGCGCAACATGGAGGCATACTGCAAACTTCCTCATGAAAAATACTTCACAGAGAAATAAATCCAGTAACCTTACTATCAAATCAAGGCAACCCTGGAAAAAGTTAAGTAGGTCAAAGTTCAAACTGTCATACAGACATAAAATAAAATGTTTTGTTTTTTAAAAATAGTCTGATGTTCAAAAAGCCTTCGAATTTTTCTTAAGTAAAGTCAGAGGAACTGAGTTAATGGGTGACTTATTTACAAATCTGACCACAGATGAAGAGAAAATTAATCTTGCATGGAAAAAAGCATTAAAATGTAAATAATTGAAGAATCATGGCACTGATGATCAAATCAAATTGACAAAGAAATAAAAACATTGATGCTTCCACAAAGGCACCCTTTGTGGAATAGTCCTTATTTTTACAAAGTAAGTGACTTTATGCCACCAGGATGGTTCCCTAACATACATAACATTTCACTAGTTGTCTGTATAATCTGAATTTCACTGTATTATATTATGACCAGTATCAAACTAAGCATATTTGATTTCATTACAATCCATATACATGCATATCCTTAGAACGCTGTGAGTAATTCAAATGTAATACCTGTATGAAATTGGGTACAAATTTGTTCGATAATTGGGTTGAGAAAATACAGTTGTGTGATACAAAATCACCCAGACCTCTACATCATTCAGTGCTATAGTCGGATTTGGTAATTGAGCATTGTCAGAAACTCAATACAACCTTTTCATGAACTATTTGAAAGCCATCAGGAAAACAGTAAACATCTAAATCACAACCGCCACGCTCCTGTTCACTGATATATTCTGCCTTATACTGTTAAAATCCAAAAGATTACGCAGCTAGCATGTTCTCTTTATATCTTTATCTTTTTATATCTTCTATATCTTTATATTTATATCTTTATATATATATATATATATATATATATATATATATATATATAATTTATTTTTTTTGCTGTTAGCTTTTCATCTATTTTGTGGTTTCCGTTAAAGTATTTTTTACATACATTTTTTTAAAATTCCTAAAAAAGATATTTTCTCATAATTGTTTTTTAAATATTTTTTAAACAACAAAATTATTACAAATTACTTAAAATGAATGTGGTATTTTATTGCTGGTGGTCAAAGGGCCCATTGACATCATACATGTCAGCTGTCACATACGTACAAATGTGTAAGTGACTGATGAAGCGTTGGACTTCTCAGATTTGATGAAAGCCTTATACAAGTGCAGGTCGTGTACCATCATATTTATCATTCCTTTGCTTCGTTCAATGTCTGCTGCAAAAATGGAACACATCAAATCTCACCATTAATGCGTGTTGTCAGAGAACATTTGGTGATCTTGTAGCCTATTTAGAAAAAAACATGGGCTTAGCTAAGGTTAAGCTCTGTTACTGACCATAGTGACCTACTAACCAGCTGAAGGAAGCTGAAGCTGCAGAATTGCATCCTTAAGCTCCTTAGTTCAGCTTGAATTCTCTGTTGAACGTATAACTGATAGGAGTTGAGCCTCAGGTATAAACTTATAATGACATAGTTCTCCAGCACAATCTGCACCTAACAAATCTATTTGGCATCTGATGTGACCTCAGTAAAAAATATTATCAACAGTGTTTTTATCTGCCCCTTACCCACAGCCAGTCTGCTCAGCACATTTTTCATGCTGGGAATATGCAGACCAAGCACTTTGTTCCCTTTTATTTATTTATTTATTTTTTTTTTCTTTTGTAAGGTCTATTTTTATCACGTTAGCCATTTGCATTTGAGAGAAGGTTGTGACTGTAACTTAAAGAACATGAGTAGCCTACACAGAGGAAAGCGACAAATATACACTTCAAAGCAAGAGTTTTCTGTTCAAAGCTGCAGACAGCAGGATGTTTGATATTTTGCTTGCATTACCAGCCCGGGCATGGCTTTGCTGCACAATATGGGGCTCACAGGATGAGGGGTAAGAGTTGGGCCCAAGCTGATGTTTCTATTTTGGGGCCTTTGAAGAAGAAAATATGTTATGTCCTTAGCTGTTCACTTTCGCCAGGAAGTCCTTCTGGATTTCTATCTCATTCCCTTTAAAAGCCAAGAGGAAGTCCTCTGACAGACAGACCTGATGGACCCCCTCCTGGATACGGCTAAAAACACCTGGCTGAATACAGACCTGATTTGAAACCATATAACTCATCATAGTCTGCTGCAAGCACACACACATGCACAAATGCATGTATCAGTCTTCACTTCTCTACTTGGGCTGTATATTTGGATATGAGTTGCAGGTTAACAAAACACCCTCAGAGTGCAATGAGGCATTTGTGCAGCTGCATGACGAGGGGTGGTTCCCCTAAGGCCCCATACATCTAAAAAACCTCTGTGTTTGATGTAGATATGATTCATCTGCTCCTAAATTATATGAAATGTTTACGTTTATACATATATAATTTATTAGCAAATGGTGAAGCATGGTGACTTACATTGTGGAGGCACAAAGGGGAGCAGAGTGTTGACATTCAGTGAATGATGCAAATCGAAATTGGCAACATTGTTCTTCTTGTGGGTAATCCCACCAGCCTCCTGTCATGCAACAAACACAATCAAATTACAAACAACACAATCTACAAACAGAAAACTAAAATGTTTGACTTTAGTTACTGTATCATGTTGGTCATTCACAAATAACTACAAAACAGGAAGGGTTAGTTTGGTTTAAATCAAGGGGGAAAGTTTTTGTCTTACTTAAGTTGAAGGGAAACCTTTTGTGTCTACTTTTTGTGGCAAAACAAGTGAAAATACAATTTAACAACAAAAAAAGGAAACTCATTCATACAAATATATTGCTAATATTGGTATTGGAACCTCTGTGTGTCTATCCTGCAGCACTTTATTATTAAACAGGAGTGGGGTAGGAAATACTGAGGCAACTTTTACTTAGTTAAGAGTGTTAGGTATCTTCCTTGAATTGCCTGCAGCCTTTTTAAGGGTGGTCAAATTGAAACTAAAAAATGTAAATTATCTTCCTCATTTTAATACCTATGAACCTTTCAAAGACTCGGAGTGCCCTATTGTCAGGTTTAGTTGATACTTGTTGAGGACCCAAATGCAGAAATGGAACGCAGAGATGGTTTCTTGCAGATTTAATGATGAAGTAGACGGTAACAGAAACATAAATCCAGAAAATACAGGCAAGGAACTCAGAAACAAAAACTAGGAGAAGCTCAGGAGATCCTTATATAAAGAATGAAGAAAATTCAGCACCGAGTAACTGCAGAGGGGGAGTATATAAGGACGACAGAACAATGAATGGTGTAATCAGCTAATTGGAAGCAGGTGTGGACAGAAGTGGCTAGAAACACACTTTGGAGAAAGGAAAAAGGGACTAGGGGGCAACAAAGAGTAACCAGGGAAAAAACAAGGGCTTAATTGTGACCAGAAAATAACTTAAATTAAACTAAAGGGGAATACAACTAATGACTACAAACTGAAGGATGACTAAGGGGAAAGCTAGAGGATAAGGGAAGGCACTGGGATAAACTTAGGATAACTATGAAGCCATAGAAACCTAACCAAAAGATAACAGACAGTGGTACTTTTAATTACTATGTTATTAACAGTGTATATTTCATTAGACGGTTGGTAAAAAATGCATATAATATGTTTCAAACTGCAATAAAGATCTTAAAAGAACAATGTATTTGAGTATTTTATTTTTTTACACTACAACTTAGAATTATGGGTAATCCAGAGCATAGTCCCCCTATGGGGTGTTGTACTTCATATGGGGCCCACCCCGATAATGTTGCTTTTGGGTCTATTATTGCGTCGCTACCCCATTGATAGGACCTGAACCCAATCGAGATGGTTTCAGGGTGAGTTGGACCGCAGAGTGAAGGCAAAAGGGCCAACAAGTGCTAAGCATCTCTGGGAACTCCTTCAATACTGTTGGAAGACCAGATGACTACCTCTTGATCTCATCAAGAGAATTCCAAAAGTTGGCAAAGCAGTAATCGAAGCACAAGGTCGCTACTTTGAAAAACCTAGAATATAAGACATATTTACAGTTGTTTCACATTTTTTTGTTAAGTATATAATTCCATATGTGTTAATTCATAGTAAATTGTAAATTTTGTAAATCAAAAATTATTATAAATATATACATTTTAAACAATATTACTGAATGTATAAAAATTCTACTTTTATATATGTATAAAACTTGTGTTAAAATCTCATATTTTTTAGCTATCCATATTTTTACTGTTTGCACTTATTTTCTTATTTCTCTCTTTAATATCTATTTAGCAAATGATTATAACATTGTTTTTGATTGAAAGATTTTTATTTGGTTCTATCATGACTTAATAAGTAAAGGTTAACGGTTGTAACTAGATGGTTGTGACAAAAGAAGGCAGAGGAACTGCATCCTTTTTTAGTGCATGAAGGGATTTAGAATTTTCTCTTTTATTTGCCACCCATCCAAAGTTATAAATAGCTTTAGAGGGTGTCTTTTTCCCTTATTAGACAAACACACATTACCTGAGTATATTTGGCAGCATTGCTGCCAAAAAGGCACGCTTCCGCTTTGCTTCTGCTCCCAGCTCTGCCTCTTCTCCTTGTACATTTAGCTTTCTTTCTTCTGTTGATCATGTAATAAAAGGCACATTAGCACACAGTGTGGTCGAACATTTACGTAACATTTATGCAATACATCACTAAAAAGTTGGTCACCAAGGCCTTCTTGAATCCTCTTTCCAATTAGGCTTAAATCATGAGCATATGGTATGTGGATGTGCACTTATTTTAAAAGCAGCACATTAGTTTGGCCTAATCTCCCTCCCACTGCCCCTATATCAACCCTCCACTGGTCCATTAATGCATTAAACCTCCTTATCTGAGTCAGTTTGCCTTTTTCTTACTACAGTCTTTTACAAAACTCCAACCCTCCTAATCACACATACACTTTCTAACACACAACCTGACAGAAGACACACATGAGAAACACACACACTGATGGGACACTAACCTCTTTCTGTCACTGGAACTCAATCATAGGGGTGGGGGGGGATATAAAAACTCCTAGCTAAAGCTTTGTGCTTTTTAAAATTCTGTGCAATTTGTTTCCCAACATTTCTTTGGACTTGGAGGTAAAACTGGAGAAAAATGCAAAAAAATAGGTAATAATAGGTAGCGTCAGTGAGGAAGATGACAGTATGGCTTTCTGCATCCCCTCTGGTCCTGCTTTGTTATATAAAGTGAGGTAGATTCATGACCCTCCATAGCACTCAGATTTACATGACCTCTCCTGAAGGGTAACCTTGCCGATGGTTAAGAGCATCATCAAGAAACTCTTATTGAATAATATGTACTGGCATTTCATCTAGGCTGATACTGATGCCTGTGGTTAGCTTCTTCACTAATTTTAAACTAAAGGACAAGTAGTGTGGGGGGAGATTTTAGTACGATCATTGCCAGGAAACACTATTGAATCATTATATGCCTGACTGAGTGATATTTAAAATAAAAGGTTAACCATGTAGAAGTTATTGCACTTTACTTAAGAAACACTGTCCGTTAATGCCAATTTAACCTTGACAGACTGACACAGAGAAAAGCTGTTATTAGAAAAGTTGTATTGACATGAATAAAATAAATTCTTTGAGACATTGATGCTTTGAATTGACATTTGCTTGGATTAATAACCTAGGAGAAGGATTAACCTCTTAGACACTTGATCTTGTAGGGGCGAGGGCTGAGGACCCAAATTTGGGTCCTCATGTTAGTAGTCTTCCCCAGATACAATTCACCAAATCTGGGAGCTTGTTAGGTACTGTTTCATTTTATTTTTTTTGCCTGTTTAGGATCTGGTAACATCATTGCTGAGTAGGGGTAAAGTATGATATGAAATAAGAATATATGTGCTGAGGGGGAGCAGGAAAAAGTTAAATCTAAAGTCTGACTATATTTAAACTAAGGACCAGAATTACCATGGCCACTAAAACTAAAATATAAATGCACTATTTAAAAATTATTTTAATTTTTCCCAAAGGGAAAAATTAAAATAAATAACCTTAAATCAATCATGAAGTCAGTGTTGTTTATCTCTTGTTTCTCCTGATGCAAACTGTCATTTTATGGGCAGTTATCTTCCTGTTCCCTAATCCTGTGTATAGGATCTGTGACCCAAAGCTGGGAAACAAAAGGAATGTGTCTCATCTGCATAACCTAATACAGTGATCTGACAGCTTTGTATAACATACCCTCAAAGCTATGAATTTTTGTTTTTTCTGTTGTTGTTTTAACTTTGGAAATTTATTCACAGCTTTTAATCTCACCACGGTAGGAGCTGGGAGCTAGCAGAGAGCAGGTGACCATAAGGGGACTGCCTGCATCAGAACTACCCTGATGAATCTGAACAGTAAATATTCACTATCCAACTTAAACAACTAATTCATTAAGTTGTTAAGTGCTTGTCTTAAATCCTTTTTCTTGCCTAGAGAAGAAAAAAAAATAATCTTCAGGCAAGCTTTGTACCAGATCAGACTAACACCTTTCTCCTCTCTGCTTCTGTCACTGTCTCATTAGGTTAGGACCCTGCAACCGTTATATTCTCCCATATACAATTATACAAACATACAGTATACAACAGTTACAATATAAAAAATATACATATTTTCATTTTCTGTATTTTTTAAAGTTATTCATATTTATTTTTGTCTCCTAATAATTTCTTTAATCAGTTAAAGTCACACAGTAAAAGTTAATAGCAGCACTATTTTTTTGTTTTTCTGTTAAAAACAGAACGGGGTCACAGTTCATGTCAAACGCCTAACAGAACAAATGTCAGAATTAAATTAAAATTGACAACCCCTGGATTTACTTGGATCATTTTACTAAATATCTATTTTGTAAAACAACAATAATTTGCTGAGCACAGTACTAAACAGAAACAGCTATTTCAGTGCATCTCCTGCAGCTGTAATGCAGCTGTAAGGCAGCTGTAATGACAGTACTCAAGTTGAGTGGAATAAATGACCATCCCCCCATACCTGAATGTGTACAATTTCTACTATGTACAGTATTAACAGTAATTGCAATAATATCACCCTAGCAACATTCGGTTGGCTGTGGGCTTACAAGTAGCCTGAGCAAAATAAATAGATAAATAAATAAATATGAAGCTGATCCCAGTTGGAAATTTGTCACTAACTATGTAGGGGAAATGATAGCCATGCTTCTCCTGGAACTGACTGCAGTTCTATTGTAAGGTGCCTTGGTCAATTTCAATGACCGGCGTACCTGACATGCATACTGATTTAGGTTAATAGACTATGTAAATCAGGCAACGTATGCTTTGAAAAAAAATATATATATTCCACTATCCCCCTTCTTTTTCTACAACTAGACTACTGTGTAACACTGAATGCAATACTGTTATGATGGATGCACAGTCAGACCAAACGCATCTCACTGACCTGCTGGATTTCTGAGATGGTCTTCCTGATGCAGATCGCCGAGACGCTGCTTCTTCATATTCAGCCTGCTGCCTCTGTAGTCCAGGCAGTAACACAAAAGTCACATTCAAAATGTTTCTTTCTTTTCCAAGAAAATAATTTCATATTTTTATCATTATTATTCATAATATCTTACCATGACTTTAGTAATATGTCTTTGAAAGGCTTGTACTTTATATTGCTTAGCGCAGTATGCCCTCCAGCTTTCTTCATCAAAACCATAGTTAAAGTAATTAGAGATATCAGCCCCTAAAGTAAAGAAATGTTACCAAGTTAATATCTGTATGGATGGTTTAACTGGTGCAAAATTTGTTGTCATGTAGATTATATACAATAACCGATTTACCTGGTCTCCTCCATGGCTTCTCCTCTAGAGGCCTCATATTCTGGTATGGCTGCTGAGCATCATAAATATTCTGAAAAACATCCTTGTCTTCTGACAGGGATTTTCACATTTTAGGAAAACATAAAGGTTTAACTGATGAATATATTTTTAATGAGCATGCTGAAGACTAAAGTAAAAAAAAGTGTAAAGTAACAAAGTATTTGTATTTGACACCTCTGTTTATAAGGTCAACTGTTTGAAGGCTAAAAACAAATTGCTTAATTTCTTTGAAAATGTCGGATTTTTATGTTTTTATTTCATTTGTCCTCCTGGTCATCTTTAAAATGTTAGTAAAAGCCTTACCAACTGCATCTGTTCCCGTTTCAGAACTGCATACCGGATACACAAGTGTTTGCCCAGAGCTGCAAGAATTCACATGATATAGCTGTTATCTCTATGGGAAGAGCCAAAGGCCTAATTCCAAATGGTGCTTTGAAATGGAGGACCAATACATCATACCTCCTGCCTCCTTTACCAAAAACAATCTCTAAGCTACATCTTGACAGAAGTGGATTCCTGACAAACACTATAAGCTGATGAATATGTCCTTCAATAAAACAAAACCTACTACAACAATCTAAAAATAGACATTTTATACATGATTCATATGCATAGCCTCATGACTACAGTTTAAGAAACATCAGCAGTTTTGTTATCACTGACCAAAATTCTGCTTTAGATTTCCAAAAAATGATTCTCTATATTTTTAATTTCATTCTTCTTGTGTAATTCGAACAATTATCTTGCATGCATGGTAAACCACAGATAATTCTGAAGTGCTGATGTTATTTTACTATTTACAAAGAATTTTAAAATAATGAGTAAAAATTTAAATTACCTTTTAAATCTCAAAATAAGATTCTAATTTCTGCTAAAATTATAATTTTAATCAAAAGCTAAGGAATTCTTTTATATTCTAAATGTCTTATTTCTACCACAGATTCAAATGTCATTTTAAGTGCACTTCAGGCAACAGTTAATCTGAGGCAAAAAGCCTTGAGGAACCATTCAACTGAAATTATTAATGCTGCATTTTTACAGTTGTTTGGATTCATATATCTAGCCTATAAAAAACTGCTTCCTCTCTGGCAAAAGGTTTAATGAGCATTATATATATCTATAACATTCCAACATATCCACTTCACAGTGGTGCCACGGCAGCAAAGTTCTTCAACTTTGCTGCC